AGATAGATGATAGATAGATAGATAGATAGATAGATAGATAGATAGATAGATAGATAGATAGATAGATAGATAGATAGATAGATAGATAGATAGAGTTAAAGTCTTAATTTTAAGCATGAACTAAAAAGCTATAAAATGATTATATGGAATTAAAAATGCCAATAATTGAAGTCTTAGCATTCCATTTAAACATGAAAATCCCATCCTACTGTTATGATTGTTGTCTGTGTTAATGTTTTATTTTAGTTTCTGTCTTGTCATCTGTTTTCTTCCTGTCTGCCTTTGCTCCAGCCCCGCCCACTTTCACCTGCTCCTCATATTTCTCTCCCAGGTGTTTCCTGTTTGTGCTCGTTAGTCTCACCTTTATATTCTGTCTTGTCTTCACTTCCCTGTCTGATCATTATTGTGCTGTTCACAGCCTGTATGTTTGTAACCTTGCCTAGCTACACCAAGTTAGTTTTTGAGCTGCCCTGTCAGCAATTTTTGTTTAATTAATCTTTATTTTTTTCCTTTTTGAAAACTGCCTGCATCATGGGTTCATTCCTGCCTGAGAATCATAACACCTACAAAACAAACAGAATGATTTATTAATACAGTGTTTCATACACACAAACGTATCACAAAAAACTCAGCAGAGAAATCATTTTAAAACTATAGCTTTTTTTGTAGAAGCAAACTAAGAGACGCCAGTTTCTTGAGGCACTAGAAGCCAAACATTAATGCAAGGCGACAGCTCGGCTTTGCTTGCCTTTTTATATTCTCTCCATCACCACAATCCAGGACATGTGATGTGCTTCTGGAGCTGCAATAATGAGGAGTCTCGCTTTCATTCTTGCCTGTAATCACACGAGTAAAATCCTCATCAAACTCATTTTGTATGATGATAAGTGCTCTAAATCTGTCTTCCTCAGTGTGTGTGTGTGTGTGTGTGTGTGTGTGAGACTTCAGATTTTCCCCTGCAGGGTGGATGAGCAGTTCTGAGTGTTGCCACAGAGGCAGCTGGCGTCACGGTTCCCCCTGACCTCCCAGTAAACGTGGAGCTGTTCCCTAGGAGGACCATGGGAGTCATGGAAGCCAGCAGCACCACCTGTCAGGTTGCAGGCCTTGTACTTTTTTTTGATGACCTGGGATCAGAAGATCGTGCCCATCTGTGAACTGTCTTTTTTTTTAAAAAAAAAAAAAGCACAAATTTTTACCTTTAAATGAAGAAATCCCATTACTGTTTAAGTCACTAAATCTAGCATGAAATTACCAACAGAACTCTTTTTTTATTATTATTACAATACCAGTATGGGTGGAGATGGGCTACACCTCTGCACGACCTGTTCACACATAGACAAGTTGTTCCTGTTAAGCAATTATAACAGTGCTCTTTTGTGCTTATATGTTTAACTTTAAGCATTATGATTTGATTTCGTGCTTCACTTGGCTTTTATTGAAAGCATTAAAGATAGTGAGTTTACACCACTGTGCACAAGTCTTACATCATTCACATTTATTTATATTTTGCTTTAAACGAACCAGATTTTATTGTAATATTTTAGCATGGTCTTTATTAAGTGTTTCTCAAATTCCCTGAAGATTTTTTCTTTGGATTTTGGCTGCTTTTTCACTCATTTTCATTTGTGCCTGACCACTTACAGAAGTTTTTTTTCTAAACCACTAAACTCTGACCTGAATCATTGAGACATAAAAGAACTGTACTCAAGGAATTAATCAGAGTTGTTTTGGCATGTAAAAGACAATAAAAAATGTTTTAATCGGATCCTCGTGCACTTTATAGCAGTCAATTTATTCCTATTTCTTTCTTCAAACCCACGAAAAACACCAAAATAACACATAAAACAGTAGCATGGATTCTCAAAGACCAATTAAACTTTGCAATGCTGAGTTTTAAATGAAAGACAATTTTTCTTTCATTCACATTTTTTACGTCAAAACAGTAAAAAGGCCAAAGACAAATAACATTAAAACAAGACCTTCAGAAAGATTGGTGAACTATAAATCATGACCACTTAAAATGATTACTAAAGGTTGGTTTCTTGCAAACAAAAAACAATGTAAGTAAAACTTTGGCACATTACTGTTTGAATCAGTGACCATGTTTAAGTTGTGCTTTCTGGTCCAGGCTGTCTTTAGAATTAGTTTTGCACTAGATGCACTTTCTGCACAACTGGGGCTCAAATCTGCAGCCTCAGGATCACTAGACCAGAGCACTGACCACAGAGCTAACACAGCCCTAATATCAGCAATAATAATAGACAATAAACAGGTTTGAGTGTCTTTCTTTTATTAATTCTGATTCCACAATTGATCCTATCTGAAATTTTAAAAAAAATATAAATATGCATGTTAAAAATATGTGTAACACAGGACATTTTCAGTCCTTCGCACTATGGGTGAATTAGTTTTGTACCACTAGAGGGCGCTAAAATAATTTTCAAGCACCTCTGAGTTTATCTCTTGTTCCTTTAACTCTCGCGAGACTTCCTGTTTCCTCCTCTTTTACTCCCTGTAGCCAACATGGCAGTCGGCAAGAATAAGAGGCTGACCAAAGGCGGCAAGAAAGGTGCCAAAAAGAAGATGTAAGTTGGAAATTATTACGCGGTTGTATGAAATAAGGTGTATATCTTTCGCAATTGCCCTTTGAGTTTAAGAAAAATTAAGGATGAAGCCGATATTAGGCAGATTGTAGAGGTCGGTGGCTAGCCTTCTCTTCGCCGGCCTCGGTGGTGCCGGATGGAATAACGACGTGCTCTATTTCTATGTTATGTATTGGAACAAAGTTTTTAAAATTACAAACATTTCCCAGGCTTGCAACGTTTACAGGGAAAATGATACGTAATTTATAAGCACGAATGGTTAATATTACTCTCTGTGCCAGTGCATAGTTCTGAGCTGTTGCTAAATCTTAGCATGAAGTGTCACGGCTTTGCACACCTCAGAGCATAACACAACTCCACATTTTAATTTCACGTCAAATAGTTCGCAAGTAAAGGAAGTAAAATACCCCTCGTGTTGTCCAGCTTTAAATAAGTTACTGATATTTATAAAAGTGAATTTAATCTTGCGTGCTAACATTAGCAGTTTGCATTTTAATATTAGATATTGAGTTAGCTTAGATTAGCATTGCAGACGTACTAGACAAGGGACTGCTCAGTTATTGCTGAGTTATTTTCTTTGTTTTTACAAGTTCTGTATTTTTCTTGTGCAGTGTGGACCCTTTCTCAAAAAAGGACTGGTATGATGTTAAGGCACCTGCCATGTTCAACATCCGCAATATCGGCAAGACCTTGGTCACCAGGACTCAGGGAACCAGTAAGTCCAAAAGAAAAAAGATAAATTTGTTTACATATAAAGCTGGCTGCTGTGCGTGAAGTACATTTAAAGGAAGTTTTGTTTTATGTTTTATTAGCCATAAAACATTGTTGAATTAATAAATTATTGTGGAGCCTTTGTTTTGTAAGATTCATAAGAGTGGACAAACAGATAATTTATATTTGAGGAGGAACTTTATTCATTAAACACTTATTTAGAAATCCTTCGTACGACAAGGGGAACAATTTAGTTGTGCTGACATTAAAATTTATTCTCATTAACAATAAATTTTATTACCCGTTGGACTGTCCAAAATACTATCCAAGAACCTGCCTGAGATGTGAAAGTTGAAAAGTAATCCTTGTTATGCAAATCTTAAGAGTGTTCCTATCTAAGGGAATGTGCATTTTCTAAGAGTAGTGCTCAAAAATTCACCACAAGGACGACAAATTCTGCAGTGACAAGTACATTGGCAAGCAGTTGTATTTAAGGTTTTCTGCCTCCAGTTCAGTTTTTGCTTTGTCTTTTTATTTTTGTCATTGTCTTACCTGCAGTAGACAGCAGTGATTAAAATTTGTTAGGGGAATTGGGGGATTCTACAATGTTTTTAATAGTATTTGCTCTTGTCCCATTGATTTTTGTTTCTCTTACCTCCTTTTCTGACTTGATTTCAACTGTATTTTTCAGGAATCGCCTCTGACGGTCTTAAAGGACGCGTGTTTGAGGTGAGCCTCGCTGATCTGCAGAACGATGAGGTGGCCTTCCGCAAGTTCAAGCTCATCACTGAAGATGTTCAGGGCAAGAACTGCCTCACCAACTTCCACGGCATGGACTTGACCCGTGATAAGATGTGCTCCATGGTCAAGAAGTGGCAGGTAAAGTTTTTTTTTTTAATAAATGGTAACAAGCACCTTTCCAAAATTGAGTTTTAGGAACAAAATACTTCATTTGACCAAAGTACTTTTTTACCTCATAAAATGATTGCTCTACTTGATAATACATTTGTAATTGAAAATTAATACTGAGTACACCTATGTTTTTGACATTTTTTTTTCCATTTGGAAATCATGGCAGTGCACACTTCAAGTGCGGTTTTGATCAAAAAGTTATATAAATATTAGTTTGTTTTTGAGTATGTAGTTGACAATTTTGGGGTCAACAGCATGAAATTGGCATGGAGAAGACTGGTCAATGGAGGCTGCTTAGGAGGCTTAAAATTAAACAAAATCAGTAACAGTAAAAGACTGCTTGGACTGTGATAATTCAAAGGCCATTATATTTCATATACCCAGCATTCATTTTCTACATACTTCAGTCCAATACTCAGTCTTAATAGGCTTGATGTGATTTGTGTTGTCTTCTAAATATGAAATAATGTTGTAAAGGTTGTTCTAATATCGTGCAACCCTACTTCAAATCAAAAAGAAAAAATAAGTAGGTCTTCTGGACGGGTTCTTCTTTAAAAGTCTGAAACTCCTCAGACTGAAGAAGTCTCTTGTTTCATTAAAGAAGAACCTGTCCAGAGGACCTACTTGTTTTATTTTTCTACCTGGATTACTGGGTTTCATCAGGACCTACTTCAAATGTTTTTAGGCAAAAACAGTGGAAATGTTTAGGCTCAGTGGGAGTTTGCTGTGATCAATCAATATTTTTTTTTATAAATTGACCCTTCAGAGTGAGCAAGCTTAAGAAAATTGACTTTGACTTAATTTTTATCTTAAGTTTTCAGGCTTGATGTGTTACACTATTTTGGCTGTATGTCAATGTATGAAACAGAACTCACTGTTCAGAGACAGTAGACTTATTGGCAGCAAATATGAACCAAAAACTTTTGGCCCAATTGTTTTCTCTGTTTAACACAACTTTTGCTGTTTGATAGATGCTATCACACGGCTATCCTTTTCTGTGGAGATTTGTATAGAGAATTTTAAAAAGTATTCGATTGTGTATTTGTAATCCCATAAAGCAATTGATTGCTGATATCTTGGGATCTGTGGTTGAAGGGTTAATATAAATAAAATTTAGATTTATTAGAGGTGGTTTGTTTTTTCATTTGCAAGATATCAAACCAGTGTAGCATTTCAATAAAACATTTTCATGTTGTGTCCGGTTTAGAGACTTAACATTTTGCATACAAAATGTGGTCTAATAAAGGTCTCTCTCCTTTCAGACCATGATTGAAGCCCATGTAGACGTTAAAACAACCGATGGATACCTTCTCCGTCTTTTCTGCGTGGGGTTCACAAAGAAGCGCACCAACCAGATCAGGAAGACCTCCTACGCCCAGCACCAGCAGGTCCGTCAGATCCGCAAGAAGATGATGGAAATCATGACCCGTGAGGTTCAAACTAATGACCTGAAGGAAGTGGTCAACAAGCTGTAAGTGGATTTCTGTTCTTCAGAGGTTTCACATTCAGCTGCTTGTTCAGTACATTAATCTGTTTGCCGTGTTGTGTTCCAGGATCCCTGACAGTGTTGGCAAAGACATTGAGAAGGCCTGCCAGTCCATCTACCCTCTGCATGATGTCTATGTCCGCAAGGTCAAGATGCTGAAGAAGCCCAAGTTTGAATGTAAGTGATACACACCTGTTTGTGAGAAAAGTATTTGGGAACGCATGACTGTTTCGGTCCCACATGGTCACCTGATTACTTTGAGATCACTGATGCTCCCCAGCAGTCATGTTGATTTGTTGACCTTGCAGAGGTTTGGTATTTTCATAAGCTTGTTTTGGGTGGATTAAAAAGTCATCACAAATGTATTTAAGAATCTTCATTGTGGGTTTTGGCTGCTGGTTTGAAATTCTCTCATCCTTTGTTGCAGTGGGCAAACTGATGGAGCTCCATGGTGAGGGTGGTACCGGCACCGCTGCAAAGGCATCTGGTGATGATACTGGAGCTAAGGTGGAGAGAGCTGATGGTTACGAGCCCCCCATCCAGGAGACTGTCTAAAAACATCCCAACAGATTTAATAAAAAATGTAAATGACCAACAAACTCTTGTTTTTCTTTGTTTACAAGTATAAATATATATATATGTGCTCAAAATGTGTTGAACTTGTACAAAAATGAGTTAGGGAGGCAGTTTTGTGGTTTAAACACTTGTGTTGGAAGTTGTCAAATACAGGCAAAAACAGAATTTGCTTTATTTTGTACGTTTTAATACAAAAAAATGGTTTCAGACTTTCCCTAATTCAAACATCTGAAAGGAATCTGAATTTCTGAAGAGATATTTGAACAAGCAGTGCTTTTCCACATTTATTGTGCATAAATTAAGATTGACAATCACCATGACTTTTTCCTTCATTTTAATAGTTTATTGACAATCACCATGACGTTTTCCTTCATTTTAATAGTTTTTGAGAGCTCATAACATGGGTGGGTGTGATTTGGGAGAATGGTTTGCATTTCTGCCAATGACAGCTATGAAAAATGAACCTGTGATGAGATTTTAAAATTCATACATTGTGCAAAACAATTCTGTAAGAAACCTTTACTTTTCACCATAATGTACATGCAGGTTATTGAAGCTTAAACATCTTGCAGACCATATCATTTGATAAACAATTTCAGAAGTAATGTCCCTTGCTGTTTTAATGTCAAATGGCCATTTTGAGTAAAATGTGGCTAACCTCCATGCATTACACTACTGTATACACAACCCACATGCAAGAATAAGAAACAGGTGACGTGAATGCCCAGCTGAATCCACAAGAAAACCAATATTGTCAAACTAGTTTATTTTTTTTATAACCGTCCAATTTAAAAGCAATAGAAAGTTACCACTGAATAAAAATACTGTACTTTAAAAGTGTCCAACATGGCTGCTTAAACATTTTCAAATTTAACTTGTTCTAAATGGCTTTGTTTCACCCAGAGCAGCAGCTCTGCACCTCATAACCTTAATCCAGTACTTGCACATAGTTTTTAGGAACCAGGGCCCGGTTTCCCTTCAACTCCCCCAGAAACCATTCATCATCTATAGACTCCAGATTAGTTATAATTTCTCCAACCTGTGCAAGAGAGAAAAAAAGTTGAAATATTCCAGTTCTTTTAGTTGATTTTTGTATTGGTAAAATACACCTGTTTACCTGAAATGAGAGCTCCTCATCAAACTTTGAGTCAAAGTTATACAGAGCCTTGGCTCGTCCACCAGCAGCTCCATTTCTCTGGTTATTGGTCATCTGTCCTTCTGAAGGCAGCATTGAAACAACTTGTTATTGCCTTTGTTATGAATTAGGTCAATTGGCTCATGATATTTTAATGGTCACGTGAGTTTTCATTAATCCAAGGGCAGTCATAAAACCTCATTAATACAAGGATATAATTAAGTCTTTGTACCTGTGTTTGTCTCGATGAAAGCCCTAGGGAACATGCCCTCTCTGCTGTTGAGCCTACCAAAGCTCCACTCCTTGTTTAAATGCTTTGTGACCAGGATTCTGTCACCTTGCTGAAAGGAAAGTTCATCGTTTGACTTGGCAGCGTAATCGTACAGAGCCACCGCCCACTCCACGCTGGACTTGTGCACCTGCAGAGAGAAAGAGAACATACAAGTGTGAAATGAATCTATACAAGCAGAACACAATGTCAGCTACATGACCAGCATCATCTTTGTTGGTGTTTCTGCTTCCGTAAATATTGGTTACCTGAGCAGGTGTAGCAGCCTCAGAAGCAGCCATGCCTGTGAAAATAGAGGAATAATAAAATAATAAAAGGCCAAATATGATTAATTATGAGCTAAGCACTTGTCGCTTTTATTTAGCAACTTTAGAGCAGTTGTGGGAGTTCATGACCCACTGTATGAGCTCCTCCCTTTGGACTGGACCTTATAAACAGATTTTTATTAACCAGAAACAGAATATCAAATTCCTGACATGCCACAGAGGGGGAGGCCTGTTCACAAAAAGTAAAATAGTGAATAAAGCCTCTTATTGAACACTAGTTTGGATCAAGCTCAAGGGTGAGATCAATTATCACATTTAGCATGTTAAAGATGTGTTTTAATGTGCTTTTAATAGAAAAAAAAAACAATAATTACAAATAGGCCTACATAGGTGTGGTTTGTTTTCAAACCTTACCAGGCAGTGCAACCCTGCCGGACTGCTGCACACTGGGAGGCGGAGGCAGATCTTCTATGATGTCCACAAAGTTAAGGGGGAAGATGCCGATGGAGATGCCCACCTGTCCCCGAGCCCAGTCCTGCCCCACGTACTCCTTCAGCTGGATAACGTCTCCCTCGGAGAACGACAGCTCATCACTGTGTTCCCCCTCAAAGTCAAACCTCGCCTCGCACCTCGGACCACTGGAAGGGATATTTCAGAATCTCATGTCAGGAATTTGACTTGGTGAGAGCACATGTGGAAGCACACAGAAAGTTATGCTAATAGAAATTTAACATACAGTAGCCTAACTGAAGTTTGGCATCGAAACACAAACTATAAATTAAAGGAATTTACTCATGATGTCAAAACAACAGAGCAGAATTATTTGAAAACAGATCAATGCAAAGATTTTTTTTAAAGCTGTAAAAACAGTACCTGATGGCTGCAGGTTTGGGCTTCGGTTTCTTGTCAGGGAGAGATTTTGGTGGGTTTGACTAATTAGGAACAAGAAAACAACATTATGAGCTGGAAAGTGTTGCTGGGGAGAGGGATGTCTGGGTTTCTCTTCTAGACCCCTTGTCTCCATGACCTGACTACGGATAAGCGACAGAAGATGGATGGAAAAAGCCACTAACTTGCTTCTTTCATTGGCTTTGACTTAAATCACTTTGTTTCTGAGAAACAGATGAGAAAATTCCTGCAACGTACCAAGACTTGGACATAATTGATAGGAAAGTAACCAATGGATCCATTCAAGGTCCCTCTGTACCACTGGTCATCCATCTTCTCCACATCTGTCACTATATCTCCTTCTCGAAGATCCAGATCGTCTAAATTCCCTGAAGTAAAACCAAACATACATCAAACATCACCTCCCAAGATTTTTAAATGCACCAATATATTTTTCTACATGATTGTCTTCTGAAAGAAACTGATCCATTACCTGGAAAATAGTCATACAAAGCTTGAACTTTTAATCCACAACTGTCTCCACCAGAGGCACCGGCATCCTGCAGAGATAAGGTAAAGATTTATGTCGGAGCTCACTGAGCACAGAAAAGGAAGAACCAGTTATTCCTAAAGAGTAATGTACCGGCGGGGAGGACCAGTCTGACTCAAGAGGAGTTATGACATTCATCAGAGTCTTGCGTACTCTCCCCCTGACGTCGCCAACTTGGCACTCAAACTCATTGCCGTTGACCTCTTCCAGTAGCAGAATAACTTCATTTTTCTGTCGTGAACACCAAAAACAAACATTCAGTTTCACTGTTCAAGAGCAAGGAAGGGAGTGCTATAATGTGCGAGTTTTGGTGACCTGCAATGACAACTCCCCGGAATCACTCCCATCAAAGTCAAACGTTGCAATCCCGTGAGGAAGTGGAAGCTGGTAAAATACATAAAGTGTTAACACTCAAGTAGCCATTTTAGAAATACACCTCAGTTGTGCATCTCACAGTGTATTTGTTGTAAAGACGGTGTCCTGGACAGGGTCTTGGAGGTACGAGGAGTCCCTTCTTAAGGGGCTTTTGCGACAGGTTTTTAGTCGTAGGTTGCGGCTGTACTGATTGGGATCGGCCCACCGTCGGAAGGTTCGGTGGAAGAGATCTTCCTGGGCCCGTTTTGGCCGGAGGAGGACGAGGTGGGAGTGATTTGGTCATGCTGGGATTTCTGAAGAAAACCATGAAAAAAATTGAATTAGACACCGTCTTTAAAACACTCGTGATGTAATTCTTTAATTTAACCGACTGTTTTTTTACCGAGGTGGGAGGGACAGCTGGGGTCCAATACTATAAGAATTCTGCAAACAAAAAAGGACTTTGTGAAATTTTCCACGCATTAAAAATGTCTTGATAAATGGTGTAGCCTGAACCTAATGTAACTAAAGCTCACAACATTCACAAGCAAAGCATTCATGGGGCTACAACAGTTTCTTTGTGCGTAGAAAGAAGAGAAGGTGAAGCAGGTGAGCTTCAAGGTACAGAACAAACTAAAGGAAGAACTTTTTATTTTATCTCAGTTGTATACTGTAACTAGTTTTAATAAAACTTTTTTTTCCTTTTTTCTTTTTCGGGGGGTGGGGGGGGGGTCCCTAAAATTCAAATCTGGGCACTGATTTTACCTGAAGGTACAGTGATTGTGTGATGCCTGGTCTGTTGCCTCCCGGGTTGTTTACACCTCCAATAAGGTTCCGAGCTGGAAGGGTAGGAGCACTGTCCTGATAGTTTTCCACTAAAAAAAATAAATAAATAAAAATTCTGCCTTTAGTACATCATATTAAACCCATGTGCTTATTTATAATTAATGATCTCAAAGTGATTGAAATATTCCAAAGTTTTGGATATGTAATAAAAAACCTCTTAATACAAAAAAAAAAAACAAAAAAAAAAACACATTGAACTCACTTAGACCTGTCTTGCTGGGAACCTTGATAATTGTTGGTTTTCTTACTGCAGTTGGCTTGTTGCTGAAGCTTCCACTCCTATCCATGTTGTACTGAGGTTTGACTGGGGTGTTATCTGAAAGAGAGAGTCACATATTTTTATTACGCTGCACAAAAAGAATCGAACAACAACAATCTCGAAGCGAAAACCAGCCTTATCTCATGTATAAAACATGGTAAAGGTAGCATCATTGCTCCAACTGAATGGTACTCACTGATCAGGCTGTCCACACGCTCATTGTCTGTGAACCTGGAGGCTGAGTTATGGTTGTTTATATTCAGGTTGGGTCTCAGTGGTTCTCTGAAAGACATCGCTGAAGGCATGGGTGGAAACGGCGACACGTCTTCGTCGATGCTCTCCGATCTGGTCAGCACAGGAGGAAATGATCTGTGAGGTGTGTTCCCTTTGCTGTGCAAAGCCTCCAGCTCATCTCTTATGGACTGGCCCCCTGGTTTTGCAGCAGGCTGAGGTCTGGGGCTTGTGAAAGGGTTTTGGTTGTTTTGTGCAGCTGGTGTATTTAAACAGAAGTCATCTACACTTGGAGGTTTAAAAGCTACAGAAGGTTTAGTAGCAACTGGAGGTTTGTAGGAGGCCCTCCTGGGCGGAAGACTGATTTGGGGTGGTTGGGACTCATTTCCCCCTTCGGCACCAGCCTGGCTCTCGAAAGCCTGGATCCTGGCACGGAAGTTCTGTTGACCGTTATTGGGGTTCATCTCTCCCACTGCATCTTCGTCTTGAGAAATCTCGTCTGGTTGTCCAACAGTGCAAGTGCTTCCCTCACACTTGTTACTATCGCTCAAGACCTCCAGGAATTCCTTCAAGAGCCTATTAGTGGAAACTTGTTGTGAATTAAAGGGATGTTTTTTACAGTTTTCATCAAGTTCGACCTGAACTTTGAGCTGCTCTTCTTTTGCAAACTTGCGCAGTTTTGTACGAGGACGTGGAATGGGTGGTTGCCTGTTTTCTGAGTTTGACGAGGTGTGGGGCTAAAGGCGAAAGAACAGATTTGTGGGAATATTCCAGTGAACAGTGACAGATCTAGTGGATGTGTGCGAGGAATCTGCCTTTTCAAGTTTTTTTTTGTGTCACATTTAGAGTCGCTTCGGACCTCGGTGACCGTAAACGATGTTTTTGTTCGAATCTTTACGCGTCTTTCAGATGCAGGTTTTCTTTCTGCTGTTTTTGCCAACAATGGCCTCGAGGGCTTTTGAGGCTTTTTACCTGGACACAAAAAAATAATCATATTTAGAAAACTATAAAAGCTATAAAAGTGCTTGAAAAGAAAGTAACTAGACTTAAAAACAAAAGAAAAAAACTGCCTAGGTCTAATTACTTAGACCAAAAACTTTCCCATGAAGGCAAATCTTTTCTAATATGCACCCATAAAATCCCATCAAATAGTTTGTGAAGATGACTGATGCCTCACCAACAGGACTTCTTGGGTGGTGGTGCAGTTTCTCCACAGCATGAAACAGTCTCTTTCCTGTCTGTCTGTGTGCAGCTTTTGCTGATGCAGGTGCTCCTGCGGGGGGCTGCAGTGGGCTTGATAATCTGATTCTCCCAGGTCTTCTCCTGAATCACCTGATCAGAGGACAGTGGAGACCGACTTATGAAAAAGAGACACGCACATATCGTGTTTAGTCCTTAGCGCAACAGTTTGATGCTTGCTCCAACTCATAAACGTCACTTCAGTATGTGAACATAGCTTCATGATGATTCATACTAAAAAGTATATTTTGTTGCATCAGACAGATGAACAGTCAAATAAAAAAAATCTACCTGTGAGACAGTCTGGATGCCAGCAGACCGGTCTGTCTGAGGAGGAAAAAACACAGATTCAGATGAATGACAAACACTATAAATACCAGGGAGACTAAAGACTTCCATTTCCAGTCCGCCATAAACATGAACTTCCAAAAGATTTTTTTCTTAATCCTGCTAGCAGCCACCAAAACAAATCTGACATTTCCATATCACTGTATTGAGCAAATAACTTACGTATGTTCACCATATAAACACGGTCAAAGTAAAAAAAGGAAAACAAAAAAAAAAAAAACAAAGAAAAAGTATTTACCTTCTTTCTGTTCTGCTGTTATTTTGAGAGTTTATTCTTGCTGATAGAAGAAAAATGGTTTGTCTTTATTTCAGATTGAACAAAAGTATCATTTTATCACATTTAATAAATTTTTGACATTTTCTTAAAAATGTGGAAAGTGACAAAAATTCACCTTACTTTAAAAAAAGTATGATTCTTTTGGTGTGGAATTCTTGGATCCAATTAAAAACAAACTCACTTGGTTTGACAGCAGCTCATAGAGATGACAGGGGTCTTTGAGAAAAGAAAGTAAAGCACAACATGAATCCTGATAAAGGCATGAACTGTCACTGGTGTTTAAAAATCAGAAGAAATCTCTACACACATCAAATATTCACAAACACATATTCTCTGGTTACCGCCACGTGCCTGACAGACAAATAAACACATCCAATAGGATTACCAATTATTCTAATAAAAAAATATATACTTTTTTATTCACCAACTAAAAAAAGTTATCCTTCACAAAAACCACATGACTGAGAAGTTTGGGGGACTTGTCTCTGTGCGGACCGCCTGCCTGTCCGAACTCTATTGTTTCATCCATTCACAACTTCACAATCAGCAGATCTGAGTGTTAAAAAGGCCAACAGCACACTGCTCTACCACAGCAGTTAACCATGACCTACCGGACAAGGAAATGTTCTAGTTTAGTCCTTTCAGTTGGATCTGTGAAAAGAAAGAAAGAAAATAAATCAAAGTTTTGTTTATTTTATTAAAAGACATGTGACATGCAGCCAGATCATAATGTTGTAAACTTTATTAACTAGAAGAAAATATGGAACCATATAAAAATACTATTGATCTTCTCTTCTTGGAAGAAACATTTTCGTTTTACGGATTGTTGTATATGAATGTATTTTTGGAAAGATAATGCTGATGCAAAAAAAAAAATTCACACGGTGAGATATTTTCATGTGCAGAAACAGGAAGTGATGACAAAAGGGTCTGAATGTAAACAGTGCGAAAACCAACAACACAAAGAATCTGATAGTTCTTTAAATTATTTTGAGTCTTATCAGAAAGAAGTCAGAGTTCAAATACTGTTTCAATATTTCCCTTTCTAAAAGGAATTTCCCTTTGACGTCAAAAGAAAAATATGCCAGTTATGTGACAAAATTGGTAAAATTGTGTATTATGCCACGTTTCTTAAACATAAACATGTTTTTTGTGGCTTTTTGTGAAGGAAATGCACGTGCTTCAATCATCCGGTTGCCACACAATTTTAACATAGGAAAATTAAAATATAAAACATTAGTGGGCTTCTTCGTTTGCATATACTCATGTCTAGACATTTTGTTTATGCAATTTTGCTTGCTGCTTTTTCATTGGCCCCTTTCTACCCGAAGTGCATTGTAGAAGGACAAATTCATTGTAAAATCGTAGTTTCATGTAAATAAAAGACCAATAAATGTAAATAAAAATCATAAAATGTAAAACTTTAATAAGTAATAAATGGTAACTGCTTGAGGAGGATGTTAAAAATTACAGCAAATTAAAGACTTTTTTCTTTAAAACATTTGACGTATTAAGCTGAGACTAGTGTAACTTTAATGCGTTTTGGATGATTTAAGTGACCCGAGGCCTGAGTTACAGATCAAATGCCCAAATTCTCTGTAAAACCTAGTGAGAGTGAAACTAAAAGCACACAGCCATCTTTTTGTTTCATTCTGATTCCATTATTACTTGACAGACTTTCCCACTCCTTTAAAACTTAAAGTTCAGCAGCATCAGCTGAACCTGCAGGAGCAGTTTAAACCTGACGAACTTGTCGGTGTGCTTTCAGGAGAGCATGCAGCGCTCTCTTCACATTCACAGTAATATTTCATGTTCTATATGATCTGAGGACATATTTAGACTTAAATGGACAGTGTACATGTCTTAAAACATATGTGGTAGATGAAATAAATAAGGATTTATGTTTTATTATCTGAACAGTGAAGGGAAAAATGCAGGTAGTGGTTGTAGAGGACTGTTGTCACCACCTGCTGTAGCCTTAAACAGTGACATCACTGGAAGTCGTCACACCTGTTACTTATTGTTTGTTAGAGCCACAGTGTTTTTGATTAAAGTTTAACAGCATTCGAGGCTAAAGTTAATCATTTACTTAGTGAAATGTTTTTTTCTTACTTTCTGACAAAGTTTAAAGTTCTAAACCACGATCAACCACCTATGTTGTCTGACAGCTGTAGTCTCATCAGAGCACAGGCTGCAGCATTAAACAAACAGCTCACTTCTAAAACTAAACCATGAGGCTCCTACCTGTATGAAATAGGAAAAGTCCTCAGCGTGCAGAAAAACAGAAAAACAGAACAACAATTCCCACATGGATCGGTCTCTCCAGGTCCCTGTTGAGGGCAAAGAAACAACCTGAAGGCAGCAGCAACACACCCACTCTGAGAACAGAGAAGAAAGAGGGACGGCCTTTTCTCTCTTCTCTTCTGTTTACTCAGCCAATCTGGTGAACTGGAATGTGATCATTCAGGAAGTAGAGCCTGTCTGGGTACTCAAAGCTTTTCTTGTTCTAAACAGTCTCTAACATAAAACATAAAGTCACTGGTGTGGACTTTGAGTCATAACGTCTTGTGAGCTGCTCAGAATTAGAATCAGTAGTGAGTTGAAATTTGGAACTTGCTGAACTAAATCAGTGGTCTGCAACCTGTGGCTCTGGGTCCACATGTGGCTCTTTGGTCCCTCTGCAGTGGCCCTTTAAAGCTTTGACCAAAACATGGGATACATTTTTTGTAGTTGTTTTTTATAGTTGTTTTTTTTTACAGCGACAACACTCTTTATACTAATTCAAAGAGTGAAACATGTTTGATTAGTTTGATTAGATCACGCTAATAGAGTTTGTTGACCATTTCAGTAATCCAACTTACGGTATGATTTCCTTTTTTTTTTCTCAAATTCAGGCAAGACAAAATGCTGAGAAGAAATATGGTGAGTTCATTAGATAAATATATTTAGTATAAACATTTTTTTGTTTGTTTGCTTACATGGATAGGGTATTTTATTAAATGCAAAAATAATATTAAAATTTCAAGTTCACTGTATATTTTAATTGTGTGCCATCGCCTGACAATAGGCTTGATTGGCTCTATAGTTCATAGAGGGTCATGTGCCTCATCACCTGACTTGTTGGTTTGGATGCTTTGGCTGTGGTTATTTGGTGTTTTGTTACGTGTACGTTGTGAGTGCAGGCGGGGTTCAACGTCCCCTTGCAACTGCCAAACAGCTGTAGCATGTTTGGCAGCTCTGGACACATTTTATTAGTGATCCAAGGGGAAGATATGGCTCTTTATTGCAGGGGTCCCCAAACTTTTCCCTGTAAGGGCCACATAACTTTTCTCTTCTCTGGTGGGGGGCCAGAGTCAGTTTGTAATAGAAAAAGTGTGACGATTGCAGGAGTGCCTAATTGTAAAAAATTATTGTTTTCCAGAAAGCACAATCAAATAACCCTCTCTGGGTTCTTCACAGGAAAAATCCAGGAAATAAATCCCTTAAGTTCATGCCATGATTTCTCTCTCATTAACTATTCAAGCCCAATAATAATAATAATAATAATAATAATAATAAATCTAAATATGTTCTGTGCATCGTAGTCCAGCAATAAATAAATAAGTACATTACAGAAAACCCACATGAAGTTTTTTTTATTTATACATTAACATGTTGAAAATGTAAAAATAAATACATTTTAAAAACTGAAAAAAAAATCACATGTTTACAGTTTGTTTCACATGTTAATCTAACTAGTATTCACAGGTTTAAACATTTACATTTTCACATGTAAAGTTAATGTGTGTTCTTTTCTGTAAGTTTGGAGTAAATAAATAAAAACTAAAGATGTTTGTGGGTTTTTTTTTTCATGTGGCGAACACTTTGAATAAGAAGACATGAACTTCACGTGTGGAAAACACTTGATGTTTTTACATCACTGAAACACTCTTTGCACCTACTTTCATGTAGGATTTTGGAACGTTTTCCCACACAGTCATGTGATCCCATCTGATTTAAGATCATATGTGAAAAAAATATGCCCGTTTTATTATTATAATTTATTGAAAAATACATTGGATGTTTTACTTAAAAGTCAAATTCCTTAAATGCAGTTTGGAAAAAAAGTTTCCTCCATTATTTGTAGTTTACTTGCATCTTCCTACATATCAGGATTTTTGCACGCTTTTAGTTAAAGTTTTTTGAAGTTTTACTGTTTCACTTTTAGAAGGCGAGGACAGAACCCTCATTTATCTGCCACTAGATGGTGCTGTAGACCTGTTTTACTCTCTAACCCCAGTCACACTTTCAATTCAACAGGTCACCGCCTTGTTCTGGAGATCTGAGGATGTGGTTGATAAAAAAAAATGTGTTGTCTTGTATTTCAGCAAAAATGGTAGCTGAAAGTTAAATCTAACAAAACATGGATTAAAGCACTGCCTCTGCTCAGGTATAGAGAGTTATAGGGACCCTAATTAAATAAAGAAATAAAGCATGAATTAAAACCTATAATTAGCACAATACTACCTTAACTGGGATGAAATGACCAAAACAGTAGCAAACCTAAAATCAACAAAACAGTAGCTAAAAATAGAAAATAGCATAAATATCAGTAGCTAAAAACAAAGGAAAAATGTAACATGAAATCAATGGCAATGCTAGGGTTAACACGATTAAAAGCTAAAATGGCCAAAACTGTAGGTAAGCACAACATAAAAGAAACAGTAGCTAAAAGCTAAAGTTTGCCAAAAACAGTAGCTAGGACTTAAAATGTGCACAGTTAAAGCTAAGATTGGCAATTCAGAAACTAAAACAACAAAAAAAGTAGTTCAAATCTAAATAATTTGGACCACAATGGAAATAAGCTTTATGCTTTATTGTGTTATCCGTTTATGTTAATGTTATATGCAGTGCCATTCATAGAATAAATAAAATGATGAAAAACATGAATGAATAAAAATAAGATCAGCAGGACAATTGCTAAAAATCTTAATTAACAAAATAAGCTAAAAATACAGCTAAAACCTTAAAACAACTAAACCTTAAAACAAAACAAAAACTAAAAACCTCACATTAGCTAGGATTAAAAGTCATCGTTCATTTTATTCCCTATACTTTTCTTCACGAGCTTCTTTTCTGGCAGAGACGCGCGCGCGTGTTTGTGTGCGCGCGTGTTGTGGTGAAACTGGAAGCGCTCCTTTTCTTTCCTCAGAGGTGGAACTGGGAGGAGTTTTCAGAGGAGTGTAGAGGAGCAGCAGCCTGGTTCTGTGGAGCCTGTGTGGATTTTTGGACTGAAGTGGGACAGAGACCGTGTGGAAGCTGGAAAAACAACCAGGATAGTCACTCCTGGAAGGAAGGACGCAGCTGCGGGTTTCTGTGGTTTTAAAGCTCGCTGTCTGCTGACTGTCCGATGGTCCGTCCGACACAGTTCCACGGTAAGGAAGCTCACATCTATAATTATATACATATATTATCTATCTATACAAATATAAATCTGCAGAAAGAGTTTGACGCTGAACAGATTAGATAATTAATCCGTGACTGACATGTGCGCCTGTTTGGGAGGGTCGGGACTCTCCACACCATCTGTTTCAGTTTTTTTCTTCTTCCCGCCCTCGGGAGAACTCAGTGAAGTGTCAGACTACATCATTGCAAAGTTACAGAAGTGAAAACCTAACCTGAGTTTTTCTGTTTGCTTCCTCTTTTCCTGCTGTAAACATTAAACACGCAGACAGGGATAAAGTCCCTCCCCCCTCTCTCTGCTCATAATTCACTTTCATAACCAGAACATGTTGCCTGGTTTCATAGTCTGCCTGAAGTTAGGAGGGAAAAAACTGCCATAATGCTGCTGTTTTTTTTATTTTTTATTTTTTTTAATTATTTTTTTAATATAAGTCTGAGATTCAGATTGACCTTTTTTGGGAGTACTCAGATATCCACTGTGTGTTAGAGACACAAAACACAGGTGCTGAGTTACCTGCAGATGCATGTTAATCTTTAAAGGCTGCCAATTTCTCACACACACACACACACACACACACACACACACACACACACACACACA